AGGAAGAAGACAAAGAATGAGTGGATGTAAGTCCCCAACAACTGGTTGTAAGTTTTGGCATATAAACTACAGATATAAGGTAAGAGGGGAGCCAGTCCATTTATAACATTGCAACACGAAGTTGATAGTGATAGTGGTTAGTACCTTGTGGAGAGTGAGGATGGAAGCTTTTGATGTATTGCCTAGTTATCATATGACATGGCAGCAGCTATGTTTCCACACTGAACCTGAAAGTGATAATTACCAGGTGCAAACATCACTAACACTAATTGAACCCACAGCTGAGGCTGGAATCTGTATAAGATCCACCTTGAATGATGGATTACCTTTAGGTAGATATCCAAAGTGTAATCTCACATATGATATAGTCACCAGTCATAGGGATGTGTGTGTCAAGAGGAATGGAAGCTTTGTATAATCAATGTGTTGAACTATATGGTAATTATTCATTGTCCCATATGAGATTTGGAGTTTTGGAGGAAGGGCTATTTTTGCTGTATATTGAATTAAGAAGTACTCAGTTGAAGCTTATGTTTTTGTGTGGAGATATAGCCATTGCAGAATTTCCATTTACATGGGAGGTAGATGTACAATTGGATACCTTAAAGCTCCTAGGGCTCCAATTAGATGTGCTAGACAAGGAAATGAACTGATAGAGAGAGAGGAGAATGTTTTCTTGAGTTAATGAAAGTGGCTCTAAATAGTTCATCCTTTTGTATAAAGGGGGAAACTACAGTTTCTGATATTATGTCCACTTGTTTTATGGGAGTTCCAGGGCCAGGAAAGTTTCTATTTGCAGAGGCAAAAATCACTATTCAACCTAATTGTTATAATTTGTTAAAAGTGATTGGGGGGGATTGTCCTTGTGGATACCCCCACCAAATGCAAGCATGGGATAAGCTGAGCCTAGTTTGTTCTCAGTCTTATAAGTGGCCACAAACTACTAGCATTTGATCACAAGAAATGGCATCGAGAAATGTTTCCCCTTTTGCATTTGAGTATCCAAGAAGGGACAGGAAAGAAAAAGAAAAAGAAGGAAAGAGGGGAAGAGCAAGGAAGGAAAAAGAAGAAAAGAGAGGAAGGAAGAAGAAAGGAGAATGAAGAGGGAAGGAAAAAGAAGAAAAAGGAAGGAAGATTATAATGAGAGGGTCTGAGGTAAATCCTGCCTTAGCACTTGGCCACCAGCAGCCCTGCTGCCTTTTGCCATTGTCTTGTCCCCTCCTCCTGACCTCTCCTGGTGGTCTCCCATCCTATCACTGAGGATCCTTGGTTACAAACCCGGTTCTCCTCGTAAGGAGAGGGACTGGGCCTCCCTCTGACCCACACACCATGAGCAACCTGGACAAGGAAAGCAAGCACAGCAACAGTGGGAACTGGCCACACCCACCACGCCCCCCAGAAGTCAGCCACAATCCTGATGCTCAATAAAGTTTGACACCCCTGAACTAATGGAAGAGAAAGGCAGACTCCACCTAATTTATCATATTTCTAATTCCTTATTTATTTTTGCTACATCTTTGAATAAAATACTTTACACCCCCATAGTTTAATCTGATTTTCATTGACAATATTTAGAATTTGAAAGGAAGAGAGACATTTTCTTAGCTACATCAATTTCTACTATGTTGCTTTACTTCGGCTACTTATTTGTCAAACACAATCCTGTATTTTCAGTAGCATGAATTTAGTGAAAGCACATTACTGTTATTCAAGTGGAGATTCAGATTTCAAAGAATGAAATCACAATATGACATCATAGAAGCTCAAACAAAATATTCCAGAAAAGAAGACAATATCAGTTACTGTGGCTGTAAACCTGATTAATGAGTTAAGAGGACTTTTTAGGAACCTCACAGTTAACTGCTATAATGAGGACCCTAGACCTGTTCCTATCAGTGTCATTCTACATAATGGTTTTATGATTTCAATGTACAGAATATAAAAAAAGAGCAAAGAAGCTTTTGTGATCAAAATAATAGTTTGAAAAAAAATATTATTGGGCTTGGATGGATGGAGGAGCAGGGAGGAGTCAAATGTTATTTCTGCAATCATACAATTAAGAAAATATTGTGTTCATATAAGATATTGTTATTTAATGAAATAGATTCTTTCTGCTCAGATAAATCATATTTACCATGTTTCAACAGAAAAAATGTTTACCATAAATTTAATTTTAATTTTAATCTAGACAGAACAAAACAAAAAAAGAACAAAAATGTAGTTGTTTTTTTTTTAAAAAGTTTTTGCAGTGAAAGGCTCTTTTCCAAAACAGAAGTGCATTAAAACCAAATTTAATTTTTTTTTGAAGAGCAGAGAATTCTCAATTTAGTCCAGAATTTTATGAAGTCTTGGCTTACTTTTCAAAGCTCTTGTAAAAGTTAGGGAAATAATTATTTTCAATGTTGCCAAAAAGACATTTATTAAATACGAAAAGTTATATTTAAAATTTATGTTATTTTGAATGTTATTTACTACAGTTTTTGTCCCAGCTTTCTAATCTTTTTTTGCCTTTGCCTCACCTATTTTTGAAATGATCACTAGAAAGCCACTTTATTAACCCTTTTCTGATAAAGTCTCTTGTTATAAAAGTTCAATAATATAATCCTATACACTCAGAAGTCCAATTCACTTCTGTTGGTCTAACAATGTTCATAAACTGATAAACTAAAAGAAACAACATTTATATTCTCTAAGCAAATACATTAGGATATATTGTTTTAAGAGACGAATGTCACTTTGTCCTTAGTCAGGTATAACTCAACTAAATTTCAAAACTGAAAGGATTCAATTTGTTGCTTAATGTTACAACACAATAGCAATTCAGTCATACATATTAGAAATTGGAAACTTAACTTTTTAGGTATAGGTTTGGAGATGGTGATTTATTAACATGTTTAAATTTAAATTTACAAGATATAGTGGAATGGAATACACAAGTTTTCTTATCTTAAGCCTTAACATAAAGTAACATTTCCTTATAAGGTTCATAAGACTCTTAACTGTTGGATAGGAGTGATGACTGTGGTTTTCAACAATGCTAGCCTTCAGAAAGGAAGAACCCAAACCCTGGGCTCACTGTATATTAACTGAGAAAAAACATATATATGACAACTACATTTAAAGGTACTTTCAGGTGTTTATTTATAGAAATTAATTAATATGTGGCCAAGTAGTTTTAGATAAAATACAAGCAACTTTTAATGTACATAGTTCAGGGATGGGCTTCAAAAAATTTAGCAACTGGTTCTCTGCCCGGTTGCTGGGTGGGCATGGCCTAATCGGCCTCCTGCACCATGGTAGCGGGGGGCATTTCCCACCTCCCTGGGCTCCGGAGTCCCTCCGGGGGCCTTCTGGAGCCTCTGGGAGGCCTCTTTTTCTCCTCTCCGAGTCTCCACGTGGGCCCTGCACTTACCTAGGATCCAAAATGGGCTGTGTGGAGACTCCTGGGAGGGGCAGGAGGGGCGGGCCAACTGATCATTGCAACTACCAATTTGCCAAACCAGATGTAAAATTAACATCTGGTTCACCCGAACCAGTATGAACCAGTAGCACCCACTACTTAACTTCTGCTTATTGTCTTATAAAAAGAGTAAGAATTCTAAATCAACATACCTGATTAAAAAAAATAAAGGACATTTTTATATGCCACAATAGCTATAGCTATATATTTATAGTTATAGTTAAATATATATGGCAGTGTAACTCCGATAAAGTTTTTTGTCATTAGTAACACTAACTGAATGCCAGAAAAGGAAAAAAAAAATCTTACCTCAAAATTTATATTCATATATGAATTTCCATGTGTATAAGAGTTATGTTGAGTAACATAATTAATGCACTGCACTCCAAGCAATGTTTTTTCTTAACACTGAAAAATAATGATCTCAAACCTATATCTGCTCAATAATTAATGCTTTATTTTATTGTATCTCAGATAGAAACAAGTTCCAGGGGACAGAACAGTTTGCTATATTTATTTCTTTGCACATGATGTGCGTCAGCATATTATCCCAAGTCCAGAGGAAAATAGACATTGCATAAAATGTTTACTTAATAGTGCTGGAAAAAACTACTGTAGAAAAGATGTATACTCTATGGTACACAAATTCAAAGGGTTTTACCTGTTTTACCTGTCCCTAGAACTCCAAACTATTTTACTAAATTTCAAAAGCTCCACAAATCTTTATCTTTTTGGACTATTTGCATTCTAGATGCAATGGTTTACACACACACACACACACATATATTTCCATTAATAATTAAAAGACAGCAAAGACCACAAATTACTTGGAACTATTCTGTTCATCTTTACAAATTTACGTATTTTAGCCTTCCCAAAGTTGGTATTCTTTAGATACAATATGCTGGGACTTTCAGGTTCCAGATATCTAGAGCTCATGGGGTTGGGAAAAGTTGTTTTATAATCTGCATATGAATAAAAGTATGCTTTAAAAACAACATTGGAAGTCCTTCTGAACAATGCTGTAGACAGCAACAAATTCTAGATATTTTAATAGCTTTATAACTAAATTTTTTTCCTCAATATTAAACTTAGACCCAGTTCACATAATTATGCTTATCCCATGAAAGTGTTCTATCTATGTCAAGTGTAACATGCTAGCTTCCTAAAACAAATGCACTGACCAACTCCTAAAGAGCATACGTCCCTGAGTTTCGCCTTTCTCCTTAAGACAGTAACCCACCGGTATGTCTTCCCAGCGGGTTACATTTCTTTGGAATAGACCAACTCCATCCCATACTCTCTAATTTATGGGAAATTAAATCAATCTATCTTGAAATTTAATCAACGTCAAAAAAAAAAAAGTTTAGGCGACCACAACGCAGTAACTACTTGCTACGCCGAACCAATCAAGCTCCGTTTATGGCGACCACAATTCCCAATACACTCATGAATATCCCTCGGCGCATTGTATGCTGGGAAATGTGGTTTCCGATGAAATCCTGAAGTACTAGTCGCACTGCGCATCTGCAAGGTTTCGTGGTAGTATTTCCCTACAGAAGCTGTTCTGTGATTTGCGGGAAATAGGGTGTCCTAGCAACTAAACCAGCCAGCAGCTACCGACGATTCCAATGACCCCGTATAAAGAAACGGCCGCCGAGGAACGAAAGAGTCAAGCCGCTGCTTGGAGCTTGGGAAAGGAAGAGAAGCGGACTTTCGAATTGCTATCGCCGCTGTTCAGCGCCTTGTTCCAAGGCTTCAATTTTGACAGAAGCTCGGGAACTTCTGTCCCTAGTTCCCCTTGGTTGTACTCCCCAACTGTCCCCTTGGAGCTGCCCCCATGATTTTAGAATAGTACCCTGGTAAAAAGTGAGGAGGTGAGGTCCGTTTACAATCCACGCCTGACCTGCCGAAGGATGCTTGAATCTATTCGAGTCACTGGTGAGTAACAATGCCGCACGGCCTTTGTTTCTTCATCTGTCGGATCTTTTTTATATATATATAAATTTTTTATTGGTTTTTAAAACAAATATAAACAAACAAAACATAAAAACATCAGGCCATCTTCCATATATGTACATACAGTGTGCCGGTTGGTTTACAAATTGTTTTGTGCTTCCATTTCGTAGTCTTCAATTACAATTACATTGTATATACTCTCATATTTTCAATCCAATATTAAATACATAGGTATCATTATTAATCATTTGACTATACTTTTATTCATTCATGCTTTGGAAAATAATCATATTTTACTTAATTTATTTTGTGACAATTCATATTATCATCCCAAATCTATCCTAAAAACATTTTGTAGATATAATAAGAAAAGAATATATCTTTATATATTTAGTATTTTCTAAAAGTCTACATATTTTGTTACTATACTTTATTGTCTAACCATTGATAGAATAGATCCCAAACTTTATAAAATTGTTTATCATCCTGTTCTCTAATTTCAAATGTCAATCTGCTCATTTCAGCACATTCCAATATTTTCTTAATAATTTCCTCCTGTGATGGTATTTTCTCATTTTTCCAGTTTTTAGCAAATACAATC